CCTTTGTCGGCAGCCCCGTTATTCCTCGTGGGATGAGGTTTACCGGGGCTGCCGACAAAGGGCTTTGATGTTGACAGGGGAGCGTCCAGACTAGTGTGCTGAGCGGACAAACAGCTGATCAGCTGTTTGTCGGCTCAGCGCGGCAGCCATGTAAATTTAAATGAAGCCGCGATCATTTAAATTGCGGCTTCATTTGCCTTTGCCAAAACAACAAATCTACATGGCTCCATCGACGGAGCCATGTAGTTTAGACGTACCCCTACTGCCTCCTGTCTTATACTTTAATTGGTGGCTCTTTGGGGGCAAATGCTGTCTTTTGTTCTATGTTTGTACCGCACCTACCACAATGGGGTCCTGGTCCATCACAGGCTCTTGGGATTTACTGCAATACAAATAACTGAAATCACAGTAATCATGAACCTGTGCTACACATGCCTCAGGGGTATTTAATTCCAGGCTGATCAGCAACCAACTTGTGAAATATTTGCTTAGTTTCAGTTGGCCGAAGTCAGAAGCGGAAAATCTTGTGTAACCATTGTTATCCCTACTGAGAAATAGTTTAGGATGGTCAAAGTTTGCCAGTTGGAGAGGGGAAAAAAAGCAACCAAAATGCTCCTGGGACCTCTTTAGAGGAGAGAGAGAATGCGGTTTGTCTGTTCTGGAAATGAGTGTATCAGGAAATAATGACAAATGGTGTCAAACTGTGAAGTGTCCTTTCTAACTCAGCCTCCTAGGAGACAAGAACACACATGAGATTGAAGTTTAGTGTCATGCAAGCAAAACCCATCACTCTGCCCCTTCTAATTTGTCCTTCCAGGGATCCCAAGGGGCTTTGTGAGTAATAGTCATTTCTGATGTGTTTAATTATCTAGAAAAGAGTACTGCAGAAAGAGATCTAGGGGTCCAGGTAAATATGAGTCAACAATGTAACAATGCTGCAAAAAAGTGCACATCATTAAGAACATAAGAACGGCCTCAATGGGTCAGACCAAAGGTCCATCTAGCTCAGCATCCTGTCTTCCAACAGTGGCCAATGCCAAGTGCCCCAGAGGGAATGAACAGAACAGGGAATCATTAAGTGATCCCTCCTCTGTCGCCCATTCCTAGTTTCTGATAAACAGAGGCTAGAGGACATCATCCCTGGCCATTGTGGCTAATAGCCATTGATGGACTTAACCTCCATGAATGTATGTAGTTAATTTTTTTTAACTCTGTTAAAGTCCTGGAATTTTTTTTTTAACTCTGTTAAAGTCCTGGACTTCACACTGGCTCCAGCTGCGCTGCTCCAGGAAGTGCTGGAAAGAGGCAGATGGAGAGGGATGAAGCAAAGGCAGGGCAGTGATGGAGCAATGAGGTGGAGAGAGGCAAGGTCTGTGCCCCTCCCCCGCCCCCTTTCCTCTTCCATGTTTTGCTACTGTTCTCAGAGAACTACCCACAATGACGCTAAGCTTTCTCTCTTGAGTGGTAACAGATAATTTAGTACATATAGCTGGGATTATTTTTTCCAATATGCATTACTTTGATTTATCAACATTAAAATTCATTGCTATTTTATTGCCCGGACATCTAGTTTTGTGAGATCCTTTGGAAGCTCTTCATAGTCTGCTTTTGTCTATCTTGAGCAGTTTAGTATCATCTTCAAATTTTGCCACCTCACTGTTTACCCCTTTCTCCAGGTCATTTATGAATATATTGTTGTTCTGGGATGCATTAACAGGAGTGTCATAAGCAAGACATGAGAAGTAATTCTTTTGCTCTACTCTGCGCCGATTAGACTTCAGCTGGAGTATTGTGTCCAGTTCTAGGCACCACATTTCATGAAAGGTGTAAACAAATTGGAAAAAGTCCAGAGAAGAGCAACGAGAATGATTAAAAAGATCTAGAAAACATGACCTATGAGGCAAGATTGAAAAACCTGAGTTTTAGTCTGGAAAAGAGAAGACCAAGAAAAAACCTGACTTTTAGTCTGGAAAAGAGAAGACCAAGAGGGGACATGATAACCGTTTTGAAATACCTAAAAGGTTATGACAAGCAGAGGAGAAAACTTGTTCTTCGTCTCTGATGATAGGACAAGAAGCAATGGGAGGTTTAGGTTGGACGTTAGGAAACACTGGAATAAGTTGCCAAGGGAGGTTGTAGAATCTCCATCTCTGGAGATATTTAAGAGCAGGCTAGACAAACACGTCAGGGATGATCTAGATTGTGATGAATCCTGCCATAAGAACAGGGATCTTGAACTAAGTGACCTATTGAGATCCCTTATATTCTGTAATTCTGGGATACTTACCTCTCATTGGTGATCTCAAAGAATATTATGGACCAGGCCAGCATCCTTATCGTCATTTTACAAACAGGGAAACTGAGGCCCAGAATGGGGCACTAAGGGTACGTCCCACGAGGAATAACGGGGCTGCCGACAAAGGGCTTTGATGTCGGCAGGGGAGCGTCCAGACTAGCATGCTGAGCAGACAAACAGCTGATCAGCTGTTTGTCGCCTCAGCATGGCAGCCATGTAAATTTAAATGAAGCCGCGATCCATTAACTACATGCCTCTGACGACAGAGGCATGTAGTCTAGACACAGCCTAATTGTCCAAGGTCACCAGCAGATCAATAGCGGAGCTGAGAGTAGAACGCCAGTCTCCTGAGTCCCGGACCAGTCTCCTGAGTCCCGGACCAGTGAGTCCCGGACACAGGTTTTCAAACAGGTTAATAGAGAACTCTAGAGGGATCCATGCAGAGCTGACCCTTGTGGTTGTCTTCGATTCATGTTTCCAACTCATATAATAGAATCATAGAATACTAGGACTGGAAGGGACCTCGAGAGATCATCAAGTCCAGTCCCCTGCCCTCGTGGCAGGACCAAGTACTGACTAGACCATCCCTGATAGACATTTATCTAACCTACTCTTAAATATCTCCAGAGATGGGGAAACCACAACCTCCCTGGGCAATTCATTCCAGTGTTTGACCACCCTGACAGGTAGGAACTTTTTCCTAATGTCCGACCTAAACCTCCCTTGCTGCAGTTTAAGCCCACTGCTTCTCGTTCTATCCCCAGGGGCCAAGATGAACAAGTTTTCTCCCTCCTCCTTATGACATCCTTTTAGATATCTGAAAACGGCTATCATGTCCCCCCTCAATCTTCTCTTTTCTAAACTAAACAAACCCAATTCCTTCAGCCTTCCCTCATAGGTCATGTTCTCTAGACCTTTAATCATTCTCGTTGCTCTTCTCTGGACCCTCTCTAATTTCTCCACATCTTTCTTGAAATGCAGTGCCCAGAACTGGACACAATACTCCAGTTGAGGC